AAATTGACTAAAAGCACATTTTTTTTATGACAATTTTAAAATAAAGATTACAATAAAATAGGTGTACCTTCATTGAGTATAAAAAAACAAATTGATCCAATAATTACTTTACTTTTTAGACTGACATCAGTCATTGCACCATATGGGTCATGCTATAAAAAACATGTATATTGTTTTATCTACAGAAAAGTGAGATTTACATGGTAAAAATGACTTATTCTCTGCACTCAATTACCATGCATCTGATTTCAATTGGTCATATAACAAATAATTCTTCTTATTGTTACAAGTTATAACTTCAAAATTATTATTAATATTATTAAAAATGCATACCAGTAAATGTGAATATTATCCATTTATACTAAATATTTCAAACAATCTAAATTTATCTCATTTGGATTATTCAATGGTTGTTTTATGATTTGGTGTCATTCCGTAAAGGAATGAACAACTTTCATATTGATTTATTGCACAATAATGGTATTTATATATCTTTGTATTATTAGCTCCTTATTGATGAAAAAGAGTGTCAGTATTTTTTTCCTTGAAATTTGCACCCTCTAACCTCGTTACTAGGAACAAGATAACTTATGAGAAAGGTAAAATAATTATGTTTTGGTGAGAGCCGTGAAATTGTAATAATAATCAATTGGTTTTGTGATGGTAATTGTTTCCATCTTCTTTTTCACTTCGCTGAGCTCATCTTGATCCCTTTGACTCTCTGGCAACTGGCTATTGCACTCTGAATCATCCCAGAATTCTTCACAAGTTGTCATAGCAATAGCATCAGTGACAACAGACTCCAACTTGGTTGATTTATCACATGTAAGCACATTGATGATGTTCTCAGTTATATCAGCGTTTGTTTGCAAATTTGATTCATTTCCAGCTTCCCAGTATTTTGTAACAAGATGAGTTGGTTGCTTAGCAACAGTCTCTCTACTGCACTTACAATATACAAATTTAACACGTGCAGTACTTCTTGCAGTTTCCACATCATTTTTTTCCATTTTCCTCTTGACTCCACAAAACAATTTGGTTTGTAACCTGCTAGTCCTGCCATCATCACCATTTATCATAAATTCATCATTTTTCTGCTTCTTGATCGCATCTCTAAAATCAGATCTCTCTTTGATGTGAGAAGCATCTTCTCTCATCTTGTCTTCTGTGGCAGTAATAAATCCTGAACATCTCTGACATCTATTCCCACTCGGCCCAATGAGGGCGCCATCATCTGGCTTCAGAATGCTAGTAACCCTGTATTTTAGATATTCATGACATGCTCGGTTGTACTCGCTCTTCGTGACCAGTCTCACAATATCGTCCTGAGTGTCGTCAGGAATTCCCTCTATTTTTCCTTGCAAGTGATAAGTATCAAAGTGTTTGAATGGGCACCCGCCTTCCTCTCCTGGACCGAGCAGATGACTCTGCAATAAGATAAATATAAATGTATGAGTTAATATTGTAAGTAAAATTGACTGTGAATATTTCTAGCACCACAGTGGGACTACACACAGCTAATGTACAGTGCTTATTAACATTGCATGCAACAAATGCTAGAATTTCAACTCGTGAAATGCTGGAACAAAAGAGTGAAACGTGATTACAGATATCATAAAATTGTGATATCAATATGACATAAATGTAACATCACCATGGCAACAATAATATCAATACAACACCAAAGTGATATCACTATGACACTAACATTTGTTGTGGCATGACACCCATGGGATATTATCAGGGGTTTTTCTAGAAAAAAAAAGAGAGGGAGCACTGCAATTCAGCGGCGCCACCAAGTTGGGGAGATAGGGTTCTCCCTACCAGGGTATGGATTTTTTGATAATTCTAAGTTAAAATAGAGCATTCTATGGCTTCCTTGGGGCCAAAATTACTATCAGACAGATCACAGTTGAAGACTGTGGCCACATGTGATCCCTGGTCAATCAGAATTTTATGGCTGCCAGAGGATCTGCTGCCCAGAAAGGGGGGCACATGGCCATGGCATGAGGGCGCTGCGCCCCTGTTACCTTGTTTAATGTGACATCATTATCGCATCAATGTGACATAAATGTATTACAAGATAAAATTACAAACTGACAGCAACTATGTTGTGTCTCACTAATGCTATTGATCTAAACATGCTAGTCAACTTTGGTTGATTGACTCGCAATCAAAATCATTGACTCTAGAGAAACACTGCAGACCAGGACAGCACCAAAAAATTCAGATGCACCTATAATCAGTTGTTATGAATACAAGTCACAAAATATACAGATTTTGGTTATTATGAAGACAAATCATTTCAACATCTCAACTATAGAGGGCATAGTTTCACCATGAATACAAATTACCTGAATTGCTTGACAGGAGTGGGCTGTATAATTTGTACGTCCACCTTCCAAACCATAGAGATGTCTGATGCTATAAGCATAACGTTTGCCATCTTTTGCCCAGCTATGTGTACAACCATCACCATGACAACCATGCGGCTGAGAGTACTCTGATCTCCAAAATTTAAGAGCACCCTCAACTGACATTCCAACTTCCTTCAAGAACAGTGTGTACTGCACCTAGGATGACAACGAAATGAACATCGTAATTTTTCCTAAAAATGTTGTGGTAACAGTTTATAAGTTTTATTACTATAATTTCTTTTTTAATTTTTACCAAAAAGATATAATTTACCATGTCTTGATCAAATTTAGAATAAAATGTACAAAGCATGTTCAAATGACATCACAAAGCATTATGTCATGTGATTAATTATTCACAAAGACATTCTATTGGGACAAAACTAAAATCGCAATAGACTCATTTATAACTGAAATAGTTTCTCAAGTGCTTTTTAGGAGATAAACTTTTTGGAATTGACAAGAAATCACAGATTTAGTCACGGTTATAAATGTCTTTATTGTCTGCATGAATTATATTCATTTGGTCTGTTACATGGTGTATCACGTTTTATGAATGTGTCACTTCTTTTTTTAGAAAGATCTTATAATCATGACAAAAATTTTTTTTTTAATTTGAGAGCTGCACATTTTGTTTTCATCACACTCTTCATTTGATGAGGAATTGTGAAAAATCAAAATAGAAAAACATGAATGCATAAGTAGTGTAGCAATTTAATTTTTTTACAAAATATATGATATTTTGAAATTTTTGATTAAAATGACAATTGTTACCATTGCTTACAAGTCTTGACAAAAACATAATAAAATTTGATGTATTTGTTCAAAATCAACAATTGTAGCTGTCCTCACAGGTCCAAAACCCTACTTAAAATATATATATTTGTACATGTTTTAAAGAGATGTAGATAATAGTAGTAAGCATGTCATTGAATGCATGATTGCAACTCACCCTAGAATGATGCCGAAGTCTGTGGTTTTGTCGCAATTTATAATGTAGATGTGACATGCACATAGGAAACATTTCTACCAAACCGTCAACATTAGAGCACTGTCCTGCCAACCCAAGCTCTGAACCATTATTGTGAAAGTCAGAATCTTGTTTCAAAAGTCGTCTGTACAGCTGCCTCACATCTTGAAAGAGTTCTCCTATCCGATCGTCAGTCATTAAAGCAGTTGGTAGTAGTCTCTGTGCAACATCGGTACCACTCTTTAAAAGTTTCTGAAACAAAGAGACTGTGACTTCACTGAGTTTGCTATAAGGTACATGTGCAAATCCTTGGAAAAGGGTAACGTCTCTTGAAGCGACGGACTGCAAAGCGTATTGGAAAGGTGCTGTAAAAAAAGTACCAGCTTCTTCATTTTTAAAAAGTCTGACAACCTCAGTCCATGACATTTTGTTTTTAATTTTCAGAACAAGATCAGCAACTTCTTTCAGGTGGTCAAGCTGATAAGTCTTGGATGCATCATTTTCTTGAAATGTTAGCAAAGCCATCTCAAGTGAGTATAACAATTCAACAATCTCTTCTTCTTTCATTTGATTAAATCGGAATTTAAAAAGCTTGGTTTCTTCCTTGATCACAAAATTAGACAACCCAGTATCTCCAGCACTGATCAATCTGTAATGGCAATATTAAAATTAATATTTTGAATCATTTTTTTTAACATTCTGAGTATATCTAAAAACAAGCATTGCACAATATGTTCTTTTTCTTATTTCATTAATTTCATTTATTTTTCATTATCTTTTGACCACATACTATTTTGTGTTATTTTGACTACCTTGTGGGCTTTTGTAATTTACATGTACCATAACTTTCAAAAATACCAACAAATATTAAAATAAAAACAGAATAAATAATAAATTATATCTTTAAAAGTGAATTTAAAAAAACAAAAACAAAAACAACATACACACACACAAAGAAGAATATTATTTTAATCAGCCAGACAATAATATTTTAGGGTGGGGGGTTGGAGGGCAGGGGGTGGTTGGGTTACTCTCAAGTAAGACCTGGTACCCATGCTGAAGTATAGCTTTTCAAAAAAACTCTAAACACGTACATATTTTGTGAAATTGTACCCCTTTTCAAGTGTAGAAATTTAAAATAGATACCCTATATACATACTAAAATCATACTGGTTCCAAGTTGAGGTAACATAAATTCATGAGATTCCTTTTTTACTCCTTATTTAAATATTTTAAAATATTCGACCCTCAACACGCATCAAATAACAAAGTAACACTCCTTTTACGCCTTTTTTTTTTTTTTTACTTTAGCTTGCGTACCATATTTTATCAGATACCCCC